TCTGGGGGCAGCTCATTCCATAGGGCCAGAGCTGCAACAGAGAAGGCCCTACTCCTAGGCACCGCCAGCTGTCATTGTCCCGCTGAAGGCACCAGGAGAAGGCCCATCCTGTGGGATCTTATTGGTCTGAGGGAGGTATGTGGCAGAAGACGGTCTCGGAGATACCTAGATCCTAGGCCATGTAGGGCTTTAAAGATGATAACCAGCACCTTGATCATGCTCGGAGACCAATGGGCAGCCAGTGCAGCTCGCGGAGGATAGGTGTGATATGGGTGGATGAGAGAACGTTGAGGGATTGAGGAAAAAACAAGATCATGTGCTATGGGGTTCTTTTCCTTGCCATAAAGAAGAGGTAGACTAGAAGTTCTCCAAGACTAGGAAACCTCCAAGGTCCCTTCCAACTCTGCTATTGTATTATTGTTAAAAGGTATCCGACCTTGGCAACTTGAAGACTTGTTGACTTCAATCCCAGAATCCCCCATGCCGCTGAGGAATTCTGGGAGTTGAGGTCTGCATGTTGCAAAGGATGGACATCCTTTCTATAAAGTTCATCATCATCGTTCAACGACCCCATAATCCCTTGCGGGGTGGAGTCTGGGCATCTGAATGGAGCCATGTTTTAATGGCTAGATGCCCTTCCTGTTGCCAATGCGGAGTTCTGTTCAGCAGATAAATTCTCAGTGTGGCCAGAGAGAGAAATATCTGCCTCTACCTAGGATCGAACCCACAGCCTCCTGATTGTGAGGCGAGAGCTCTACTTCCAGGCCATCGCACCACTCCTATCACTTCTATAAAGTTAATACAGATGAAATTACATTTCCACCCAGCTAGGAACAATAAACCCAAAGACATAGAAAGACAACAAGGCCTATTTTTAATCAAACAGAATCATATTTCATCGACAAATATCGAGAGCTTCTCTTCTGCGTTCCAGCAGTGACCGGAGCAGAAGAAACACCTTCATCCCCTCAACAGGCGCACTCCGTACGGTCTCTAGAAACCAAACAGAATACTTACATCTTTTAAAGTAATAATGTTCGGGTGCTGTCCGTACCGCATCAAGATTTCTATTTCTTCGGAAGGATCTCTCTTACTTTTGTCAATTATCTGGAGGGGGAGAGACAATGACCACAAGGAAGCGTGACAGGAGATTAAATTCAGCACAACGAAGCATGTTTCTATTTAAGAAAGAATAGAACAACCTCACTTCTCAAGGCCACCTTGTAACAAGGGCACAGAGCAGTCTCCTTCCCTTCAATTCCCAGGATTGCGAAGCCAGCATTACAATTGAGTGCCAACAATTCTAGGCAGTACTAGGGCTAGAGGCAATATCGCCAGACAGATGTCCCGAGCATTTCAAAACATTGGAACTGCTCCACTACAACGCGGACACTGAATCTCTCTCTCTTTCTCTCCTACCTCAAGGTAGATCTGCAGGAGACATACTTTTGAGATACTTAAAGAAAAGATAGATTGGAAACAAGGCAGCAAACCACCTATGTAAGGGATGTGCCACTTCAAACCTAATCTTAAATTGTCTAATTGATCAGAACATCATGCTAAGGGAACCCAACAACTTGTAGACTCAATTCATCTACTAAAGTTCTACACTGTGCCAATGAGATGGGAATAGAGTGGTGTGGGAATACCCTGCTTCACTGGTACCNCTCTGACTGGATGGTGGGGAATGGAAGGCTTTATATTCTTTGCAGACAGCTGGTCATTTGCATCCTTTTAGAAGGTCGTTGAAGCACTTGGAGATTTAACTGTGTCCTTAGGGTCACCTGAGTGGTGCTTCTTGTTCCTGTAGTCTGCAATTTTTTCTCTGGAAATCCTACTACAGGAATCAGGAGCACTTGCTCAGGTGACTCTGAGAACCTGGATAAAACCTCCAAGTGCTTCAACGACCCTCTAAAACAGGGGTGTCCAAACTTGGGAATTTTAAGACTTGTAGACTTCAACTCCCAGAATTCCCCAGCCTGCTAGCAGGCTGGGGAATTCTGAGAGTTGAAGTCCACAAGTCTTAAAGTTCCCAAGTTTGGACACTCCTGCTCTAAAAGGATGCAAATGACGGGCTGTCTGCCAGGAGTATAAATCCATCCATTCCCCACTATTTTGCCAGAGCTGAAGAAGCTTCTTGGATGAGAAGCGAAATGTCTTCAAAAGAGAAAACAAGAAAGTCCAGTTGCCTCTTGAAAAAGCACCTTTGGGACAACCATGACCTGGAGGGCTGAGAATCTCTACAGACATTTAAAAGATTCATACAGCCACTCGTCCTAACTCTGGGCAGTTTACAGCAAACATAAAGCCAAGATCCAAACAAACCCCAAAAACATACATCCAAACTTAATTATCGAAATGTGCCCAGCTTACTCCTTGACAATGCAGATAGTCCACAGTTTTAGCGATTGTATACAAGACAGCGCTGGCTTCGCGTTCGGAGAAATACTTCTGTCTGAGAATACGATCCAGAAGCTCACCTCCCTTCATCAATTCTGTGACAAGGTAGATATATTTACCATCATCGTACACCTGTAGAAGTTTAATATAGTTGAGTAACACATACTCCAGGAATGGGGCATGAAACACAGGGTCTGCCTAGAGGCACACTCAACAGAAGGGATTGATTTTTCCACCAATACTTTTTTTTTAAGTTGCAAAGATTCCAAACTACCAAATAAGGTTTCGCTGCTTCAACTGGCAGATTTCATTTCATTTCATTTATTAGATTTCTATGCCGCCCAATCCCGGAGGACTCCGGGCGGCTTACAGAAATGAAAAAAAAAATTAAAAGGCATTATTAAAAACAATGGGACACAACAAAGCTAAAAAGGAACACAACAGACACCCAATCAGGAGGGGGCTGGACCTCAATCAAGGNTAGATAGATAGATAGATAGATAGGATAGATAGATAGATGATAGATAGAATAAAAATATGCTGATACCTTCGCAGCATCTGACACAGTGTCCCAATTGCCTCCACTTAAAGAAAATTTTCCACTACCTATCCGTAACAAGATTTCTTCAGGGGTATCATTGGGCCCATTCGCAAAAGGTGTGTACCTAAAAATATTTTTAAAGAAAGGATGTTAATTTCTTTTGCATAAGTAGTTCAGAAACATAGATGGAACTTGCTGATTTAGGACAGATTTTTTTTTTTTTACGCTGGATTGATCCTATAAAATAAGCAGAAGAGTCATGGCTTCAAACATCTGTAAATTCATAGCGATGTCAACATGGCGCATCTCACCCTGCCAGCATTGTATAAAGAAGAACACCCAAGCTCCAAATATCACAAGCAGCATCGTAGCCTTGCCTCATGAGGACCTAGAAGAGGAATTAAAACTCTATGTTATTGTTAGAAAGACGAGCCTTCACCACACTCAGGTTTAGAAGTAAATTTAAATCAGTGTTTTTCAACCTTGGCTACTTTAAGATGTGTGGACTTCAATTCCCAGAATTCCTCAACCAGTGTGCAGGCTGGGGAATTCTGGGAATTGAAGTCTGGGCACCTTGAGGTAGCCAAGGTTGAAAAACACTGATTTAAACTAATGACTACAGTGCTGCTTAAATAATATAGTAACCTTTCCTGAAATGCTGCAATAATATACAGAACAATAATCAACATTTAACTAAACTCTGGGTTTCCATGTTTGTTTCTATACAGTAAGAAGCCCATTTATCCATGCTTTTGTGTGAGAGAGTAAATCAGATTAACAGAGTTGGAAGGGACCTTATAGATCATCTAGTCCAGTGGTTCCCAAACTTTTTCAGTCCACTGCCCCCTTGGTGCTACAAACTGATCCTCAGTGCCCCCCACCCAGTGGTGGAATTCAATTTTTTTACTACCGGTTCTGTGGGTGTGGCTTAGTGGGCGTGGCTTGGGGAGTCATGTGACTGGGCGGTTTGCACGACGGAAGGAAGATAGTAACTAAAATTCGAAACTGTAACAATTAATT